GTGGAGGGATGCCCACATCCCCAAAGGCTGGGGATGGGTCGATGTCCTCGAGGATGTTTGGGGACAGCGGTGACCCCCCGGCCATGGGGACATTGGAAGGGGATGGTTGACTTGGGCTTGTTGGAATGGGACAGGTTGAGGTCCATGGGAGCAGATGGATGGGGACAGTGGTGTCCCCAGGACCGAGGGACACGAAGGGGCTGATGACATCCCCAGGACTTGGGTGTGTTGGAGGGGGACAGGTCGATGCTCGTGGATGCAGACCCTGGGGAACTGGGGTCATTAAATGGGGACAGTGGTGTCCCCAGGACCAAGGGACGCTGGAAGGGGATGATGACAACGATGATGATGGCCTCAGAGCTGGGGACGGACCAATACCTGCAGATCCTGATTCCAGCAAGACAGGGACACAAGATGGGGACAGTGGTGTCCCTAGAAGCAAGGGACACTGGAGGGGATGAGGTCCCCAGGACCTGGCTGTGTTGGAGGGGACAGATGGATGCCTAGGGGGGCACATCCTGGGGAGCTGCGGGTGTTGGATGGGGACAACGGTGTCCCCAGGACCGAGGGACGCTGGGAGGGGACAATGATGACCCTGGGAGCTGGGGACATCAGAGAGTGACAAGCCAGTTTGCCTACGGGTGCCGATCTTGGGGAGCCAGGGACAGTGGAGAGAGGTGACAACGTCCTCAGGAGCTGGGGGTCTTGGAGGGGGGACAGTCTGGTCCCTGGGGATGATGACATTGGGGATGATGACATGAGGACCAGGACAGTCCCCAGGAATTGGGGACATTAGAGGGGACAGTCTGATGCCCTGGGATCTCTGAGAGGGACAATGCCATCTGCAGGAGCAGGGGACATCAGGAGAGAACATGTGGGGATGCTGGAGGAAGAGGATGCCGTCCCCAGGAGCTGGGGACATCAGAGGGGGACAGAAGGACATCTAGGGGTGCTGGAAGGGGACAACGCTGTCCCCAGGAGCAGGGGACGTGGGAGGGGGACAGGTGGAGACCTGGGGATGACGGTGGTCCCCCCAAGCAGGGGGGGACGCCGGAGGAGGACGTATGGGTACCCAGGGATACTGGAGGGAGGACTGAGCCCATTGTGGAGGCCACGGGAGGGTGATGTCCCCAAGGGTTGGGGAAGGGGACAGAGGTGTCCCCTGCAACCCATCTCACCCCATCCCACTGCCACCTCAGGAGACGGATCAGCTGGAGGAAGAGAAAGCCGAGCTGGAGTCGGAGATCGCCGAGCTGCAGAAGGAGAAGGAACGGCTCGAATTCGTCTTGGTGGCCCACGCGCCCGCCTGCAAGCTCCCCTTCGAGGACGTCGGCTCCATGGGTGCCGGCCCCGCCGAGGTGAGCACCCTGGGCAAGGAAGAGCCGGCGGGGACCGTCGCCTTCCTACCCCCGGGTCCGTTCCAGCCG